CCATCCCGATGCAACTAGAGGAGAACTTTCTTTTTTCCTTTTGGAGCTATGTGCACGCGGAACTTTAAAATTTATGTGCTCCAGGTAAGTTATATGGTGTACAAACAACCCTTGGCGCTTTCAGGATGGCAGTGTAGCGCTTCACTGTCATCTACACTTGTTTAGCACCAAATGAAATGACAGCTAGTATTGGCACATAGTATTATATGATATAGACTAGAAAGGGGCAGGCAACAGATCTATATCTAGTCAAGCAATTGAATGGTAAGGGCACATAGAAACTTCCTGCCAAGTCAGAGTCTCTTATGAGAAGGAAGCAAATTGCGAATTAGCAAGTTGCACTGGCCCTCCGTGTTGATGTCGAGGAAAGACGCTCGAAGATGCAAAAAGTCACCATTTTTATTGCCTTGCATGAGCTAAAATCTTAGGAGACATGATCTTATAACATCATAAATTTAGATTTCGATTTTCCAATTAAGGTTTGATCTTATCTGTTGCTTCAGATTTTTCTATCCTAAGTTAATGAAACTCTTGTGCTTAATTTTGCTTCAGATTTTTCTATTATAAGTTAATGAAACTCTTGTGCTTACTTTTTTTAATTTGTTAACTCTCTTTTCATATTTTATTAAAAACAAGGATTTTATGTCGTAAACTGTACTTTGAGTACTGCAATAACATAAATGGTCATTTAAATCTATACCACATCGCTCAAGATCGCTAGTAGAGCATGAAATGAGATATAGAATAGATTAGCGTGTTAATCACAAAGGGATATTGATATTTAAGCCTTATAATCACCGCTTATTCTAAAGAAATCTCATACACGTTGAAGGCATAGCCATCTTTGGCCTCCACTAACCTCTCCCACTTGTTAAAATATAACTCTTACACTTATAATATCAATATAATATAGATATGACAACCATTTCAACTAAAAATGTATAAATTTATCTAAAATAATAATTTATAGTCCATGAATACTAATACAACTTTAAATCATTTGTTAGTACCAGCGTATATGAGTCATTAAGAAAATATTTTCATGATTACTTATATAGTTATTGATTATTGATAATGTATGCATGTGTACTTGCATGATGGGACTTCAAATCATGCATATGTGGTAGTACCATTTTATAAAATCCCAGAATGCTTGAAATTAAATTACCATTACTGATATGATATAATAGGTTAGTCTAAACTTATAAACATATTTAAAATAATAATTTTTATTTTCATGAAGTACTAATATAACTGAAAGTGAATTGTCAATATCATTATCTATAGTGTGTTGAGGGAACATTTTCCAAGTTTTGTAACCTGTTAAATTAAATATTTACCACAATGTATGCATGTGTATTTGGTATTATTGCGGTCCATAGTATTATGTTTACTTTTAATTTAATTTTTGCATAAATGTGTAATTTAGAAATATTTATACCGTACATTATGGTTATTGAATCATTTTTATGATACCTCCTATTAGTATCTGTATATCAGTTTGAAGGATATTTTAGTTTATTTTTTATGGCAACTGGCAACGTAAGTGGATAATTTAGATCTAAATAAAATGTTACTTTATTTTATCTTTTATAGTGACATGTGTGCATCATTTAGATGCAAATTTAATGTTTACTTTGCTTTATCTTTCACAATGACAAAGGGGAGTAATTTATATATATATTTAAGGGGTTAACTGTCTATGTATTATTTTATAATTGTAAAAGTAGGTAATTTAGATATAACATTACAGAGTTATTTTGAATTATGTTTCATGATGGCATAGGTGGCTAATTTAAATGCAAATTTAGGGGGTTACTTTATGTATTCGTTGTGGCATTAGTGGGTAATATTCGTAAAATACAAAACCGATCCAACGACTATTATTGGCGATGTTTAGAGTCTTCTAGATTAAAGGCTAGACATTTCTAATAATTATAAGAATTTCTAGGATTTACTTTTCTCTTAGCGTGTGTTGGTAGCATTAATGCGATAAATCTTTTGGGATGTCTAATCAGTAATAGTAAAATAAGATGCATAAATTGATTGGCTCTTTTATCAGTTCTATTGCAGCATTTTATTACTGGCATCTCTGCTTCTCATAGCAACTCAGCCTCCAAATCGGGTCCTCCAACTTTTGAGGGGAGTAGATCGAACCAAATATTCATTAGCGAGTTATCTGGACATTGCCCAAACTTGGAGAGAGTAATTTGGAATTTTTCCTATAAATAATTAGAGGCTCCAATCGAAATTCTACATTAATTCTCACCATACATACTAGAAAAAAAATCCTAAAAATTCTCACAATAACCAGAAGGATATGGCCTTTAATTTAGTAGATTCTCACAAAAACAGAGGACAGATCACATCCAAACATGGTGATGTAATTTGTTAGGACGTTCGCAGTACGTACTTCCTTGAAACAGTCCCAACCCTTGTCCGATAATCTGGCTGTGCATGTCGTACGACAACCTTGATCAAAACAAGACCTGTATTGACAGACAAACTGTCAAAGCTGAGAAATATGGGAGACAAGTACTGACCCTCGGCCCCTTAACCTTGTATGTCCACCTGAGAAATATGGGAGACAATGTGCCACAGGTCCCCAACTTCTTTCTTGTAACCTGCCAAATGAGGGAAGCCAGCAATGGACAAATACTGGAGTCTGTTACGGCGTTGTATGGAGCGAGGCAGGGAAGGCAAGGGGCAGTGCATCTTTCAGGAAGAAACCGTCGAAGCGCAGAGAGTTCTCCTATCCACTCCGGCAGCACAGTCATGGCGCTGCATTCTTCCAATCTGAGCGTGTGAAGAGATGTGAGGTGCTGGTTCACCTCAGGCAGCTAGTTCAGATTGTGCCAACCACCAATGTACAGTCTCACGAGGCATGTAAAGGTGCACGTAAGTACCGAAATTACTGTTTACTCCGTAAAGTTTAACGTCTTGTTTGGATACATGTATATTCATTTCAATCCATATGTGTTGGAGTGGAATGGAATGGAACTTAATTTAATTCCACTTCAATCCACTTCAATACATGTGGATTGAGATGAATACATGTGCATCTAAGCAAGGCTAAAAAGTGGGCAAGAGAGTATGGCCCACTTTGGCTTCAACTGGGGGGTGTTTGGATTAAGAGATTAAAGTTTACTCCCTGTCACATCAAATGTTTGGATGTCAATTAGGAGGACTAAAAATGAGATAATTATAAAACTAATTACATTAGCCGTGACTAATTCGCGAGACGAATTTATTAAGCCTAATTAATCTATAATTAGCATATGTTTACGGTAGCATCACATTCGCTAATTATGAATTAATTAGGCTTAATAGATTCGTCTCGTGAATTAATCACAGCTTATGCAATTAGTTTTGTAATTAGTATATATTTAGTACTCCTAATTGTTATCAAACTTTCGATGTGACGGGAAGTAAAGTTTAGTCCGCCCGCCCCTAATTCCCACAAGGAACTGATAAGGTCAAAGTTCCACACTTCAATCAGCTCTTCTATTTGTTTGGTAGCCCCTGTATATCCCCCTCGTCTCTATGTCATACATACTGATATATTAACCAAGCAAAATCTAGAACGTCCAGTTAAAAAATGGATGAAAATGACAGCATAGAGAAACATCAAAACAAATAAAAACGGTCGTTTTCAGCTATAAAACTCCAAAACTAGCTAGGAATGTTGGACCTCCCAACTATTGAAACTATTCACAGATTCTATTCATTTCAACAATGATAAGAGTACATTGTTAGTCATATTACTACATAATTATAAATCAATAATCATATTAATTATTGTGTATCAATGGTATTTAAGATCAACACTGGCTTATATTACTCGTACACAATTACACACAATTTTTAAAAGTTGAATATCAACTATTACAAAACTATATTATATATCATTGGTCATATTAATTGAAATTAACATAATCAACCATATTAAATTAATGTTATTAATGGATAAAATGAAATAAATTTTTCTTTATACATCATTATTAATATTAAAATTAATACTATTAGTCATTACTTTAAATAATTTCAAACTGATGCGTATTAGTAATAATGTAAAATAAATTCAGTTAGTCAGTGGCCACAAGATTAACTTTTAGATAATTTCACCTAATACTGTAATCTTCACGAATACGGATATCCAACCATTTTTCCCAATATGGTGGGGGAATTGGATACAGAAAAATAATGGAAAACGGGTTTGAACACATCCATTTTATAAGTTTTATTTTATAGTTCTATACAGATTCAGATAATTCAGATTTTCAGACATCCAATTTTCCAACCTTGACCTCAAGGCTAAACAAAAGTACTTTGTAGAACCATGTTATTTTCATCACCACTTACATAAAGCGCAAGAGTATGCTCATCTTTTGTGCATACCTATATATACACACACAGAAAAGCACACAAGTGTACAGGCTGAACAATTACTTGAAAACATGTCCTTTTCTAACCATAGGTCTAGTTACCAGAGTAAGCCTACCACGAGTTTTAATAAGATCCAATCATCAAATGGAACGGATATAAGATTGCCGATACATGTAGCAATCCTTGCAAAACAAAAAACCAATAAGTTTCTGAATAGTCAAGCTGACTGGACACCGGATCCTTCTTAGTCCACGAAACTGAAGCCTGTACGAGCACACGTAATGAGTAAGTTTTTTTTTAAACAGTAATGAGTAAGGTTGCAGCAGACACTAATAGGATTCCATCAGGCTGAAGATCACTGTTATATAAATAACACAGATGTGTAATTGCAGAGGACATGTGCGACTTTGCTCTACTGCCTGCCATCAGGGAGGACCGAGAAGTAACACGCTCTGGAAATAGCGCAAGAAACAAAGAGTGACACAAAATCAATCAGCACAAAACACAAAAACAACTCAAAAACAACAAAGCTGCAAATCGGAATCAATAGTGGGTAGAACGTACCAATGGTTGGAATGGATGCTGCAATGCTCGCGTGTCTGACATTCAGCCTCCTAATATATGCGAATATTAGGAATGTGAGAGATCAGTTGCCAGTCCGGGCCTACTCCTTGCTTGTAACGACTAACCAACCCAGGGCAGCCACCGATGTGCAATTCGCGGAGAGCAGTAAGCCGTTGTAAGGACTGGGGCAGGCATTCAAGGCGAGGGCAATACTGGATCTTCAGAGTACGAAGTGCCGAGAGCTGTCCAATCCACTCTGGCAGCTCAGTCAGAGCATCACATAGTACCAAGTTGAGCAATTCAAGGGAGGTGAGATGCCGAATCACGTCAGGCAGCTCCTTCATCTCGTCCCAACGACAAATTTGCAATGAGGTAAGGGACGTAAGGTGCTTTGTTGATTGTGGGAGGCTGTCAATCATTGGTGTCATGAAGACAAACAGGAATTGCAAAGAACGCAGTTCGCCTAGCCACTCGGGAAGCATTGTAAGGTTCTGGCACCCTGTTACGCACAACTTCCTCAGGGAGGTGAGGTTTCGAATGTTATCAGGTAATTCTTTCAGATCATCGCAGCAGTCAATATGCAAGGTTTCCAGTTCAGTTTGGCTCTGCAGGAATTCCCAGTTAGATGATGATCCCATCATTTTTCTTAGTCGTAGTTCCCTGAGACAACGCGCTGCAGACTGCAGATTGCAGGATGACGAAGACTCATCAGCAGGTGGAGGAAGTGGAAGGGAGAAACTACCTAGGGATAGAAGTTGCTCGTTGCTTTCTTCAAAAGACAATGACACCAACGATGGTGGGAAGTAGGGCTTCACATTCAATTTTGGGCAGCCTGTAATGCGAACTTCAGACAGGACAGGAAAACAGTATTGTGCTTCTGATTCTTCCCCCTGAATTCCAGAACTGCTTGTCGTAGTCCACAGCTCCTCTAAGTTAGCCATTTTGACCAGAGAGAGGGACTTTAGCGAACGAAACTCCTGAAGTCCTCGTATATACTTCAAGTTAGGAAATTCTTCTAGTGTCATTTTTGTTAGAGAAAGGAACTGACATAAACTGGCCTGCTTGAACACTATACCAGCACAGAAAGAAGAATCATTTAGCTTTGTCATCCAACATGGCAAAATGGAGCCTCTGTAACCACAGATTTTCAAGTTCTCAATTTGTGATGGTGGTTCGAGAGCATTAAGCACACCCTGATCTTGTTCCACATCTGATACTATCTCTTCTTCGGTTTGACTTGAAGACCTACAGATTTTCAAGTTCTCAATTTGTGATGGTGGTTCAAGAGCATTAAGTACACCCTGATCTTGTTCCACATCTGATACTATCTCTTCTTTGGTTTGACTGGAAGACCAGGTCAACTCCAAACTCCATATATTCTTCCGCTTCAACATGGCCTTTTCTGCCTCACTTGGACCCTTCAGGTATTTAAGGTTGGTGATTTCCATACGTCCACTTATCATATCAAGATTTTCCAGCTCTGAGATTCTTGCATCATCTCTACCACACCCAACAGCAAACAGGGCCAGATGTCTTAAGAGAGTCAGCTGGCCAAATCCCGATGGCATGCATTGTAGTTTGCTGCAACCCACTAGATTCAAAACCTCAAGATTTTTCAAGTTAGCTATACCTTTAGGCAACTCCACCAACTCCTTGCAATTATGAAGGTCTATATGCTCTAGAGTACCAATCGATGTAACCCATTGGGGAAGCACAGTAACTTTGGTTTCAGAAAGGTGGAGAGTACGAAGCATCGGGCAGGCAAATGTGCTTGGTAGGTCTTGGAGACCCCAACAACCATGTAAGTTGACTGTCTGTAAGTTGCTTAACTCACCATTGAATTCTGAAGGAAGTTGCAAAGATGAACATCTGAGTATATGAAGCACCCTTAGGTTCCCCAGTCTACCCATGGAGCTCGGTATGTCTCTGAGCTTTCCACAGTAATTTAGTTGTAAGAACTGAAGATCTTGACAATCACCAATGGACTCAGGTAAACTCTCAAGATCTGTAATATCATTCAGCTCTAGAGTTCTTAACTTCTTAAGCTTGCCAATAGATTTAGGTAACACCACAAAACCTTTGCAACTAATAAAATGGAGTGACTGCAAGTTCCAACAGCCTGATATAGCCTCTGGAAGTTCTGTGCATGTAAGTTGATGGATTTCAAGATATCCAAGATGTTCTAACTTCAGTATGAATTGTGGAAATAGAGTATCAACTGCATAGTCTAGAACAACACTGCGGATATAGCAAATCTCATGGTTATCAAATGACGGGTTACCTCCAGAGACATATACAGCACGGACTTTGTCAAATAGGCCCCCCTCAACCTTCTCACTGCAAGACATCAACGACAAATATCTGCATTTTTGTGACCAGTTATGTGTAGTCATGTTCTTTGGTAGAGATGCCATCACTTCATACTGTAAAATATAACGAGTAAGATCATGAATCAGGTCATGCATCTCGCATTCTACACTTTTTTCAGGCCAAGTTTCAACTGGACTTTGAAGAAATCCAGCTTTCATAAGAGCATCAAAGTATTCATTTCCAATATCATGTGCCAGCTCTTCATTCTTCAGCTTGATGAATCCATGGGCAATCCATTGTTCAATCAAGTAGTCTTTATTGATTTTGTAGCCTTTGGGGAATATGGAGCAAAATGTGAAGCACTCCTTTAGATGATCTTTCAAGTAAATATAGCTCAGTGTCAAGGATGCAAACACTCTGCCTTCTATATTCTCTTCTTCCCATAGATTATTCTCTCTTATGGCTCTCCAAGTATTTATTGTTCTGTTTTCATGGAGAACAGATCCAAGAGTTTTTATTGCTAGTGGCACCCCACCACATTTCTTCACGATATTTTTTCCAACTTGAATATAAGAAGAATCCAAATCTTGTTCCACCCAACCACAACTGTTTAGAAAGAAGCTCCAGCTCTCATCCTCTAAGAAGAATGGCAATTTGAATACATCCTCTGATTCCACAGCTTCCGCAACACTTTGGTTGCGAGTAGTTAGAAGAATCTTGCTTCCATAGGCACCATTATTTAGGAGAACCATGAAATTTTCCCATTCTTGCCTATCCTCGTGCCAAGCATCATCCAAGACAAGAAGAAACTTCTTTCCGCTCAATTTGTTTGAAATTGCATGGAGCATTTGATCTTGTGCATGGACACCAGAGTTTTGCTCAACGACAGCTTCAAATAGCTTCACAATGAGTTTATCCTTGCAAAATTCTTGCGATACATGGACCCAGAATATTGTATTTGTGAAGTGCTCCTTTATCCTGTCATCATGGCAGATATGTTGGGCTAAAGTGGTCTTGCCAGAACCACCAAGCCCAACAATAGAAACTATATGATTACATTCTCCTTTGTTAGGTTGTACAAGCTTAGATATGATATTGGCCTTCACATGATCCCTTGATGGTATTTTTAAATCTTCAACATAACTCAACAAAGACTGATCTGATGTTTCCTTGTTTCTGCTTTGAACTGGTTGATCCACTTGTAAATTATGTAGTGTATTTTCCATCACAATTGTATCAAATGTCACCTTGATTTCATCGATCTTATGGGCCACCTTGTGTCGGAACAGAAGCAACTCCGGTTTTGCAGAAAAGTTGTCAGTTATAGCAGGCTTATCATGGTCACTATTTACCTTGTGTTTCTCATCTTCGATGTAGACATCATCAAGTAAATCATAAATCTCATTAGCAAGACTTCTCAATTTCATCACTCCTCGACCAGATGCTTCATGGTCTATTGTTCTGCCACGAACCACAGACAGCCAGCTCATAATCTTTGTATGTATATCCTGGAGCTCGGAGAGATCCTTTTTTAAACCAGTTATGGAAGCAAACTCACTGGATATCAGTGAAACTAGCTTGTTTCCTGCAACCGTCAACAGTCCAGATGCTAAAGCACCCTCAATTCCAGCCATATTTGGAAGGCTCCCACGCCAAACCCCTGTGGATGAAGTTGCAAAATGAATGGTTACACGAGTTTTGCCACCTCAAACTAATATGGTTGATGTGCTAATACAAGCAATATTATTTCAGCTCTTGAATGACAAAACAGATGTAAAAGGTCTGAAATTACGAACTAAGGTTAGCTATCTGGATAGTATATAGGAACTCACTGGGAAAAATTGGTCCTATGGCATTTTATCTTACATGGGAAAACAAAAAAAAAAGCTTGGAATGGATGTTGGTCCTTGCTCTCTGTACAGATGCTCTAGATTAAGCAATTCCATGCCACATGGTTATGAGCCACATATGAGAGGATACACATTGATGCAGCGACAGAGAAATAAGTTGTGTACAAATACCTCTGCCGATGGTCAGAGCAGAGCAAGAGCAACAGATGTATCACATATGACACTTGTGCTTATTATGATGTAAGTACCTTGTGTAGGTACTCTAATTTGTGGCACTCACTGAGAAACCTGAATAACAGTTCAACATCGTTAGCGAGAAATTTAATCAGGGAAGACAGTAGGAAGATATAGTTGCAGAAGGAATCAGAGCATGTACGTAGAATCGAAGCTCTAATCAGCTGCCTGATCCTATTCCTTCCCCTGATACGGCACTGGCTTTGGTGGTTCAGGATGCAGAGTTGCAGACAGTAGGAGCCTAGGAGGTGCAGATGGCAGAGAGACGACCCTGGTAGTGCTTTTGGTAGCTCCAGTTCAGCACTTCGGGGTCAACTGTCCCTGCATGACACCACAAAATGCAGTGGCACATAATTTCTGCGGATTAATAGCATGAAGGAGACATGCAACTACTCTTGGAGCCTACTGCAATCAAGGAAGTGGAAAGGAAGCCATCATAAAAATTCGTTGCCATCCAAAATTCAAACCATAAAAACTATACCTGTGCGTTTGATACCTTCACGGATGGTTAACAACAAGTAGGTGAACTCCTTGGCGCTCTCTCATCCGTCGACGTTGGTGATGCACAGGCAGGACAGGCAGGCGATAACTTACAGAAGCCCCAGGCCAGCAGCGGTCGAGGACGCAGCTACGCAAGTACCCATGCCTTATATCCGCCAGAAGCTGTGATCTGACACGATACTCCGTCCTTGGGATTTCCGTCGACGGGGTCCGCAGTCATTTCCTCGGCCTTGCCGTCCTTGGGCTTTCCGTCGAACAGGCGGCGGGCGCGTGTGCTGCCTGCGCGTGCGGGAAGAATCGGACGAATGAGTGGAGCCAAAGAAAGAACGAGGGGGCCGTCAGAAAGGATATCCAGGACGCTTCGCCTCACCACATTGGTCGAGAGCACCGTTGTCCCGACTCGCCGATGGCCGCCGTCGGCTGGAAGAGAAGACCGCGCCACGGGACCGAAATCTTCCTGTGGGAGCCGTGCGCCTAGCACCTGTTTTTCCACGCATGTGTCTGGCTTCAGTTGAACTGTTTCTTTTTTTTTTCCTTTTTGGCCCAATAACAACAAGCAGAGGAGCGGCGCATGTGCGTCTAGAAAGTCAGGTACGTTTTTTCTTTTCTTTTTTCTTATATTCCTTTGCTGTTTTCTTATATTTTTTTATCTTTCTTTTATTTATTTTTTCTTTTACTTTAATTATTTTTCAATTATTCCATTTTTATTTTTTTTATGTTCAGTCTTAGGTTGGTATGTTCATCCGTTTTTTCTTTTCTTTCTTATTTTTCTTTTTCTTTCTCGAGTTGTTTTTTTTCTTCTTTTCATTTTTTATGTTTAAAAATATTTCTTTTTTACCTTTGTATTTTATGCTTTACTTTTTTGCTCATGATATGGGCTATAGAGTTAGCGCATCCTTTGTTTAGAGACCGGAGCTAGAGGCCCACACTCACGTTCGAGGCTCGGATGAGTTTATCTTTTATGTTTTTTTCTTTTTTTTTCTATTTCATTTTTCCTTTCCCTTTATTATTGATCTTTTATTTTTCTTTTATTTATTTTTATTTTCCTTTTTTCTTTCTTTGTGTTACTATAATTAATTATTTGATTATTCCTTTTCATTATTTATGTTCTACTTTTTTACATATTCAATGGGATGCATGTGATATTCGCATCGTGTATGTATAAGATATTCTATGATGTATTCTCGGATGTTCACATATTATATGGGATGTTTCATGATAATTTTTTACTATTCGCATAGTACTCGTGGGAGTTTAGGTTGTTCAAATAGTATCTATGTAATAATCTTTTTTCTCTTTTTATTATATTTTTTCTTGTTCAAGTAGTATAAATGTGATGATGTACTTCCTCCGTCCAGGAAAGAATACAATTCTAGCACAGTGACATGGTTTAGTATCTTAATTTTGATCAATTATAGATAAAAAGGTATTAATATGTATGTTATGAAATAAATATCATTAGATTAATTATGAAATTTATTTTCATAATAAATTATTTTAGAGCAGTTAATGTGAATAGTATTCACTAAAAATTTAGTCAAACATGAACTACTTTTAACGGCACACAAAACGTAGTTGTATTCTTTTCTGGACGGAGGGAGTAGTATAAATGGAATGTTTTGTTATATATCTTTGATTATTGATATAGTATATGTGAGATATTTTATGAATTTTTAGGTTGTCCGAATACTATCCATGTGATGTTCTTTTAATTTTCTCTAGATTTTTTTTCTTCGTTATTTTACTTTAATTAAGTTGTTTATTTATATTTTCATCTTTTTACTTTTTAAAGTTCCTACATTCCTTTAGATATATGTGATGTTCATGTAATATACATGTGATGTTATGTTGTGTATGTATTGTATGATATTCACGCAGTATGCGTGTGAAGTTCTATAATTTATTTTGTGATGTTAACGTAGTATACAAGTAATTTTCTATGATATATTTAGTGATGCTCAGGTAGTATAAATGCGATGCTCTATAGTTATCTTTGAGTAATCACATAATACCTCTGATATTTCTTATATATTTTAGGTTATTCAAAAAGTATTCATGTGATGTTGTCTTTTATTTTTTTATTTGGTGATTTTTTTTCTCTTTTTACATAGTACCGATGATATGTTCTCTTTTATGTTTTGCTCAATCTTTTATTAACTTATTTATTTATTTCAATATATTCATATCATTTGTTATTTATTTCTTATTTCTCCTTTTCTTTACCTTTATTTTACTCTAATTAGTTATTTTATTTTTTATTTCATGTTTTGATTCTGTTTCCTATATTCCATGATATACGCATGATGTTCACGAATATACATATCATATTCTATGATATATTTTTAGAATGTTGACATAGTATAAATGAAGTGTTTCACGATTACTGAGTATTCATATAGTACTTGTGAGACGTTATGTTGATATATTTTAGTTTGTTCAAATAGTAGTCATGTGATATTCTCTTTTCTTCAATTACGTGGGTTGTTTCCTTATATTTTGCTCAACTTCTATTAGTTTATTTTCTATTTACATAAATTGTAATTAATTTATATCTACATATTCATAGCATTTGCTATTTTCTTATTTCCCTTTATTTTTTCTTACTTTACTTTAGTTAATTATTTGATTTCTTTTATTTTTCATGTTCTATGTTTTATTTTTTGTATGCAACGCATGTATTTATTTTTCATTGGGATGTTAATTTCTTTACGGGGCTACATGGCCGCATGTATATATATTTGTGATGTGTCTTCTACATTTGCGTGATTTGCTTGATATACCAAAACACTATTGTATTATGGTATGTTGACATACTTGGTGTTCCATGCACTAGTGTAGGACTGAGCACTAGTTCCGGTTGGGAAACCCTTTTTAGTCCCGGTTTCCCAACCGGGATTGTCAATCTAGGACTCAAGGCCCCCCTTTAGTTTCGGTTCTGGGAACCGTGACTGAAAGTGGATCTTTAGTACCGGTTGCTATTACCAACCAGGACTAAATATGTCCTAGATCTTGTCCCGGGGCTGGCACATTTAGTCTCGGTTGGTGTTTCCAACCGGTACTATTCCATTTCTTTCCTTTTCCTTTTATGGTTTCTTTTCAATTCATTTTTTCTTGGTTTCAATTAGCTTTTCGTATACGAATTCTACGTTGCTAGTATACGTCCACATATACGTATAAGGTTCCGTTCGAGTATTATACATAAATAACACACTAAAATGTATGAAACTATATATATACAAATATTTCAAGAGGTTGTACATGCATGGAATATGTACATAATAAAGTCATCAAAAGCTTGTATTCGTGTCCTTAGGATTTCATTCAACCCTAATCTTCAGTCGTCCTATGGCTACTAGGTAATATTTCTTTTCTGTCATTGTAGTACGTGTCTTTTGAATCTATAACCTCATCCATAAGAAATCCTAATAATCCCTCTTGAATTGTTTGATATGGTCAGCTCACGGGACCTTTTCCTTCCTCCATTCATGCTTCAATTCGAATGAAAGGAAAAGTATGAATATATATATATAATTATATATATCACAATGGTAATAAATAAATTGTGTATATTTTTTTACGTACTTCGAGGATCTCTTCACTTGTTTTCATTGAGTACTGTACGAGGAACTCGCAAACATAGTATCCACATAAGTTGTTCCCTGATCCATGCTGCAGACACCACTTTACGAGAAAAAGATTCATCATCAACCAATGAAATATGGTAATAATGAATTGAACTAAATAAAGATACGGTGACCTAGCTAGTACTTACTAGGTATTCGACTACATTCAGAGGCATGATCTAATTACCATTATGGTGTTTCTGCGCGAACGTAGCCCAAGCACTGCCCAAGAAAATAAATAAATGGAGTTATATCAATAAAATAAAAAAAAGAATATACAGTGTGCGAGACCGAAATTACCACTGGAGAATATCTATCATATATTGGTAATCTTCTTGGAGTTTTGTCGCCGAGTCAAAGATTTTTTACACAACTCCTAGGCATATCGATGACCAGCAATATCCAGTGAAAGCTGTATGTTTATACGCAGGCATAACTCATTAACTAAAGTCAACATGGAGTAAGCAAAATAAATTGTGCACAAGACATTAACACTCGATGTTATAAGGGAAGAGTATCAATGTCTTGTCATGTTGGTTATCTAAGAACTTGAACTGATTCTTCTCCACTTGAGGTCGCCATCTATCATATGGAGTAACCGTGTCCTTGAATGTGCGATTCGGATCCATGAAACCAACATCAGTCATCTATTTTTTCTTTAGTTTTAGCACCTCATATCTGCATATATATAGTACAAAACAATATATGTAGTGTGAGAATAACTATATATAGACAACGAACTAACATGCAAGTTACTTCAATTATAGAAAGAATCACTTACAGACACCAGCAGTTGAGGAGAGATTTGTCGAGAGCATCCTGGTGTAATAGTTGGTGTAATTCATTGAACTCAATATATATAATGTCATAGCCATTGAAGTAATGCTCTGGTCTAACTCTAACAAGAAGCCATGCCTCATCCTTCACACATGCATCTAAGTACCACTTGTTGAACAAGAACATTTGTGTACCTAGTGTTGGCTAGTTAGTAGGGTTGATAAGACTCCTGCCATACTTATAGGTCCGGAATAGATCAAACTTGGCTGTTGGTATCGATACTCCCCCCATGAGTTGCTCTAGTGTGAGACTTGTTGTGTCCATGAAGTTTTGGAGTTCCTCCCTATCGATTGGACTGCCTTGTGCGTTTGTACAATCATCCTCAACAACTAGCGGGTCGATAGATTGCAAAGATTGCTGCCCGAGCTATGCAACATCTTTCCCTGCTCTCTTTGCTTTCTTAGATGCCTTATATCACTTGTCGAGAGAGCGTTCATAGTCTGATAATGGCGAGGGCTTATGTGCATCATGCTACTTTTTCTCGCATTCAAAGATTTTTTTCCTCAGTTCTTATCGAGCTATGTACTGTGGCTTTGGTGGGTTTTTTTCATAAATTCCTTCCTCTTTGCTCTTGATTCTGCTAAACTTTGCCACCAGTTATCCAAATCTTTTTGTGCCGCCGCTTTTGATTCCTCTTGAGGCTTCTTGTAAGGCAGCTTCTCTGGAAGGGGCTTTGTTTTACG